TCTTCAGGATCAGCGTGGCATATTAAATGTGTCGAAATTTGTTTTTTTTTTTTCTTTTTTTCGACACGTTGGTGTCGAAAATTGACCAAAAAATCGACCTGTATGTGTCGAAAATTGCCGGCGGGTTTCAAAAAAAAAAAACTTCAAAATCGACTTCGAAGCTCGAAAAAGACATCGATACTTACCTTAATGTGTTCTCCTTTCATATATACTACCATATTATTGTCTTATAACTCAATTTTATAAGTTTTGTGAGGTTTTAATTTCTTTAATTTTGAGATTTTTTAGAAAGGTTTGTTGTGAGATTTTTTAGAAGGGTTTGTTGTGAGGAAGATTTTTTAGAAGGGTTTTTGGGGAGGGAGAAGAAGGAGGTGGAGGAGGTGAGGGGTTTGTGAGTAAGGAGGGAAATGATTTTTTAGGGTTTTTGATTATTTGGTATTTAAGAAAGAAAAATAGTATTTGTAATATTTTTTTGGTTTTAATTTTCATTAAGGGTATTAAAGTAATTTACAATTAATTATTTATTTTTTATTTTTTTGGTATTCAAGTAAGCAAAAGTTGGGATTTGAAATAGTGATCCCCAAAAGAAAAATCTGTATAAAAATTAAAAATTAAATCTCTAGTGAATCTTAACCAATTGTGCCTAAATTTTAATGAACAATAATACTAAATTGGTCCTTTTGATGCTACTAGTCCTGGTACAAACGAGCATGTAGTAGACCGAAAAACGAAATGCAACACATCGAAAGTTGCCGTTTAAGCTCGGCAAAAACCTCGTGAATTGGTGAGCATTCTAAATTAATTAACAAAGGTGACATTTCCATTACCAAACACAAACGCAATAGCCAAACTCTATTTACATTTTATTCTCCAGCCTACAAAATTACAGTAACAATAGTCTTTTAAATGTTGAAAGAATATATCATACTTCAAAAACAACACTAACCCTCTTCAATATGTTAAAGCTTCCACTAAAAAGAAAACCAAAGATGTTAGCTAGCCATTTACATCGGTTGAAGCCCGTGTACAAACCTTGTTAGATTGAAATCGATAAAAAGGGTCATTTAGTATCAGGCTCACCAGAATCGTAATCTTAAAAAATTTATACGGAATAAATTTGAGAAAATAACATTAACTCGTACCTTTTTCCAGTTATTTTCTTAATACGCTCTAATGTTAACTGGAAGCGGCTTCAAGCTTAATTATTTCAAGGTAATGTGTTGTTAAATAACCCCATCGACTCTGCAACTTCTTTCGATGTGAAATTATCGGCTTGCTCCTGCGATTGTACACAACAAATGGTCAGTGAATTTTATGATGCTTCTTTTTATAAGAAACGGTAAAATAAAAATTTATTTGGCTATTTAAGTCTGCTGATTTCTTCCATAATTTATGGTTATAGTATACTTACCTCTTCAAATTATAGGACTGGTATTATTTAATGATTAATTTGACTATCTTAAATAAGTGTACAGTGGTAACTGTAACACTTAAATGCATAAACAATATAATTGTGAACATTTCGCTTGTATTACTTGATTCTATTCCGTCTATTACCTCCATTTATAAATATCTTTTGAGATCACATTGGGACATCAATATACACAAGTTATAGCATATTCTTGTTCTGAAACTAATTGTCTAGTTTCGTTACTACACGTGTTTTCTTCCTTTTAGTTGACATAATAACTGAACAAGCAAACAGATATCCGTACCTGAAGGCGATGCAAGAGGTACATCAAGAAGAGATGCACAAATACCTGTCAACATGAGAATACAGTATCAGTAAACAAGCAAAATTTAGAGTCTAAATAAAATGTCTTCTCATTTTTTATCTGTGAATTTCAACACAGATATTTGAATTATTCAAGGCAGGCACTGGGGTTTGGAATTAGCATGAAGAAATAAATTAGTAACCAAAGTTTGTCCATGAATCACTGTTTTAGCATTAGAGAATTGATTTCTAACTTTAAGTGGTGTTAAATCGAGAGCATCTGAGCATCCAGAGCCACCAGAAAAGAAAGAAATTACCTTCGAGTTTCTACCTTCTAATAGACTGAAGTGAAAATGGCTTAAGCCCCATCATATTGTTTCTGTGTGCGCATTTTTAATTTGTTCTCTTTTTTTTTTTTGTTCTTTTTAAAATGGTAATGGCACAGGTTATGGATCACATGGCAACAAAAAGGAAAAATGCAAAGCATATCCGCTAATTTAACTAATTAATAACATCAAATAAGTTAGACTCGAGTCTTATTTACATATTCTCACCAGATAAAGAAGCAGGATAATTCGGGCAGTAGGATATCGCCACAAGAATCTCGTGGCCCTGACAGCCCCAGTATCTAATAATTTTGCTGCCTTCTGCAACTGCAATTGGCCAGTAAAGTTTGAATATTACAAAATAACTTAGATGAACAAGGAAACATTTCTGGGGAATAAGACACAACAACTATATACCTGTAAGCTTGCCCCAGCCATGTGGCGATGATGCAAGGGCAGGGACCTGAAATTTTAGAATATGAGACCAACGAATTACACAAATGGAATGAAGAAAGATGGAAAATCTGGTTTTCAAATATAAACTTATGAGATTGCTTCTCAAGCATCCCGTCATCTAGATTCTTTACACCCCTAGCATATGACTTCCCACAAGATTGTAAATTTTTTTTTTGACCAAAGTAATTAGACGACTGGAAACATACTCAAGGGATTTCATGTCTGTGTCCTCTTCCCAAGAGGATGATGCTCGACGAGAAGCTCTGTTCCTTTCGGTTTCTAACTGTTTAAAGAATAAATGCATGATATATGTGAGACAAGGTCCATTGAAAGAGCAAAAGGTCTGCACAAATAATAGAATTGATGCAGCAGACAACCAGTTCAGACCTGTGCTTCCTGATGACGCTTTATTTCCTTTTCCAACTGAAACTCAGCTGCAGCTTTTTCACTGGCCATAGTCTCCAGTTGTGTTTGTTTATAATACTGAATAATGAATAGAATAATTTGGCATCAAACTAATTATTTTAGTTCATAAATAGCAAATGATTCGATGAATAGAATTAACAGACGAATTACCAATAAATCAGTTAGCTCACGATACCGTTTCTCCAGTTCCGTGTGTTCCTGCTCAAAGACATAAACAACTTTACGACTAAATACTTAGTGACCAGTACAACATATGGAAAAATATTATAGGTAAAACAATTAAGAACTGTAGAGATGTTTATCTTAGCTAGATTCTCTTCATGTATTTGTTAAGCACCAAACATTTCAAGTACAATTAGTAGAATCACTATTACTCATCAAAAGGAAGAAATGTTAAGAGTTTTAAAGATCATCTAAAATTACAAAGTCGACCATATTTGATTCAAAGGCAAACTTTATGTATAATCTCATTGCAGAAGAAGCCAGATGATACGCTAGGTGAAACAAATTAGGTACCTGACGAGAGTAATGCTCAGCGTCCCTCTTCATGGCAGCCATTTCGACTCTCATCTTTTGAACTTCAGCCTGCAAGATAATTCATAAAATTCCATGTACCGTCCTTGAAAAATCAGTTGACTTCTATAAAGGCATTCTACATTTATCAGTAGGAGATGACTATGACTATAAACAAGAAAATCAACTTGCCTCCATTGAAGAAAGTTTGCTCTCAGCCTCTCTCTGACCTTGACGTGCACGCTCCACTTCCTCTTGCCATGCTTGCACCTTCATATTCAGAAAATTTAATTAAATACAACCCCAAATCTATTGTTGTTTACTGACCAAATATCTAAACCATATCAGGTTTCAGTTCGTTCTGAAGATGAATGTTAAGAGAACGGTCCCCCAACCCAAAAAGAGAAACATAATAATAAATAAAGACTAGTACGTATCAACCAAATGTTTGCATGTTACTTATCATATAAAACATTTCCACTAAATTCTAAAGTACAAGAACCATGAAAGAACATATATATCGATCTTGGCTTCTTGTTGGAACTTCTACATGCTTTTGAAAGGCATAGTACATTGATGAATACCTGATAAGTTTTATGGTCTTGTTCTGATTTCTGAGTCTATTATATTATATATCCTTTCTTAAACCTTGTTGTGTATCATCTGCTTTGAATCATCTAATGGACCTCATTACAGCAAATAGCTGTGTATTCCTCATATGAGACCGTAGGTTGTCTTTCTCCGTTTTTGCCGTTATATTAGCTCCACATATTTTCTCAAACACTGCATCTATAAGATTCTACTTGATTGCTAAACAAACTCATACATGACATTCATTTTTTTCTTTAATTGGTATCTGAACTACTCATCCAAATATAGTGACCTCAACTACATTAAAATTATGCAGATACTATTTCTTAAGCCAGCATTCGCAACGTCACAAAGTTGCTACACTTTGCTCAACGTGCAATAAGTTTTATCATCTAGATAGAGCATACACCATGTGGCATCAAGATAACCTTGAAGAAGAAAGGGAAAAACAATAGTTCTGTTCATCGAAATGAAATAAATATAATCAATATAAGTGAACTTACATTATAATTTCTCAACAACTTCCTAACATATGCAATAAGAATATTCAATTTTAACTTCTTGAACCTGAATTGTTTGATTTGCATCTTCCGGAGATTTTTTCTGTCCACGGCGAACACGAGCTTCCATATCTTGGAGTTCTTGATTCAATGAAGCACATTCAACCTAGCAACACATACTAAAGAGTATTAGAAGCTTTATCTATGTCATATAAATCAATTTTATCTTTCATTTTGAGAAGAGATTGGAACAGAGTTAGGGACAAAGGACAAAACCCCAGACAGCTTAAGAAAGGAAAACCATTACCTCAAGAAGTGCAACCTTCTGCTCAAGTTCTGCCGCCTTTGAAGCCCTATCATCTGCTGTTCTCTGATGGAATAGATGTACATGCTAATGATTATACTTATGGACATTAAAATTACTAATTTAGAATATTAAGTTGAAGAAAGACGGTCTTCAGAAGCAAAAGTACATTTATGTTCTTTTAACAGTACTTTTATAACAAAAAGATAAAGATAATTAAATTCTACTGCTGATGCTTGAAAGAGAAGTTTAGTATGTGCCATTGCATTACCTGAGTTCTGGCTAATGCTGTGGATGCCTCAATAGCTCTCTGTTCGAGTTCTACTTCCCGTTCTCTAGCTGCCTATTAGATTCAGAAGATCATTATGCTTCATGTAAACATCTTTCCACAGAAAAATTCATATATCCATTGGAAGAAAAAAAACTGACAAATACACAGATATTGACCGAAAACCAACTGAGAGAGAGAGAAAAACGAAAGACAAACCAGCTTCGCAGAATTATGTGCAGAACGCTCTTCTTCAGCTCTTCGTTCGGCGGCAGCCAGTTCCTCTCTCAGGGCCTGGCATTAAATCAATGTCACCTATATTATAGCTCCATCATGAATCATGTTTACATTTAGGACAAACCAAGTGGCCTCTTACTTGCATCATCCTTGTTTCCGTTAATTCTCGATTTCTCATTATAGACTCCGTACTCGCCTGATAAATAAAATATAAAACATATAGAATAAGCGAGAGAATAAATGCAGGACATGATAACTTAAATTGATCATCATCCAAATGATAAAGCAACAGTATCCTATCTGGATCCACTAGATATACCAAGAATGATGAAGAAGATTAGAATAGTTTATTAGAACAGAAAACGATCGACTTCCAAAGCAGAGTCTTAGTATGATGTATAATACATCATTGCATGAGGAGGAAAAGGCAAAGAATAAAAGAGAAAAAAAAAACATTTTTTTGCAGTTTCCAATAACAAAAAGAATCCTATAATATTGTGGAACAAAGTATATAGAATCCAATTGCTTTTGTTGAGAAAGTGATATAGGATGATAATAAGCAAGATATTAAATGACCTGAAGTGATGCTAAATTTTCTTCAGCTGAAGCAGCTTGCTTCTTAAGTGCATCAACAGAGGCGACAAGTGCCTCAATTTCAGCATTCTTTGCAGATAAAGCCTCCAACATATTTGCCTCCACTCTGCTAACCTCTCCTTTGGATATGGATTGATCTTTCTGAAGCTTCTTTATGTGAGCCTCATAGGATTTAGTCAGTTCTCTCTGTTACAGTAGAAGAGTAGAAACACATAAAAGAATGTCTTTTTGTAATGCCATACTCAACAAAGAGTTGTATTGAACTTCTGATCGTCTAAAATTTGAGCTCTTTGTTTACCTCTGCCACGAGAAGTTCTTCTAATTGAGCATTCTCAGATTTGTACTCTTGTAGCCGTGACGAAAGTCCAGCACAGACCTGACAGATTTATGTTTATTTTTTGTTTGATAGCAATTACCACATAACCTTTGCCCTAAGTATAGTGATAGAGGCTTTAACAAGCACATCAATAGAATCTCCTAATGGCTTAAACAAATTGAAACATTTATAGGTAAGAAGATCTTGTTTTTTTTTTTTTTTTTTTGAATTTTTTGGAATCAGGCAAGGGATCAGATTAGTTAGTAGATACAGCATTATAAGTGAAAATATTGAGACGATGAGGAAAATATGTCCAAGCAAGCTGCATCCATGGAAGAACTGTATTTCTTACCCGAGCTAGCCTAGCTTCTTTTGACTGCCCTGTTGAAACAGCACTTTTAAGTAATCCTTGAGCCTGTTGACATTAAAATATTATGTTTAAACAAAAGGCAAAAGATATTCTAATCCGTGAGAGATCACATATTACAAAACTGAACCAAAATGTTCAACAATAGTACATAGTTTACCTCATCTAGTTGCTCTTGTACTTCCACAGCAGAGGGGGCAGTTTTTTGTTCTTCACGCTGCTTATTTCGGGTATCAGGTTCAGTAACTAAATCCAGGCCCTTTGATTGGGCATACACTTTTGTTGGTGCATCTTCTTCTAGAGTTTTGGAAACTGAAAGTTCAATACTTCTGAAAGAACCTGCATCTTCTGGCATCGTATTTTGATTGGATTCAACTGAAGGATCACCATCCAAAACCTCAGGATTTTTCGGAGCATTTAATGGAATCCCAAGTGGGATATCTGCAACTTTTTCCATGTTGATATCTCCATTTAAATTCGAAGACAAAGCT